TTTCAAACGGAGGTTACTTTTCTGGCGTCTGTCATCCATTACATTAACAGAAACGATATTTCATACGTATTCAAGGGAAGCACCTTCAACCTATTTTGGGGGCGCCATGAGGTGAGGATGGACCCGGCAGCTTACCGTTTGCCTGTACCATTGCTGAGCTCGCCCTTGGCTTTCTTTTGCTATTGTATGAACGGATCTCGTTTGGGAGGACTCGCTACGTCATTGCACTGTAGAAAGAGATGTCATCATCATGGAAAAGAATAGGGATGTGAGAAGGGAATAAATACAGGGCTCCTACTGCAATGGTAATGAAGGCTGTTGGACTGGAATCCTGGGGGCAAACTCAAGGAATCAGCTTCTGACTAACTGCAAATGACCTCCCCAGACCAGGCCACGATATCCGCACAGAACGCTCGGTATTTTGTCTCACAGCCAACGTGCGCAAAGAAAGCTGAAGGACCACAGCACTGCCAGGTAGACCAGAAAGCTGGCCTTGGTCATCCCTCAAAGCCAGAGGCTTTCCGCGAAAAACAAATTCCAAGAAGAAAAGGCTTTTGTCCCCAGCTCCTGATTCATCCCATCATGGAAGTTCGAGAATATAAAACAATGGTGCAAAACAAATATAAAAACAGGATTTCATCAGAACCCCTTGCAGCCCGAGCTCCAAGTTCATCTGAGGAAACACTCCGAAGGAGCCCGGCGCCTCTAAATGATCCGTTGGAAACAGTCAAAGAGTTACACAAATGATCTTGTGTGATCCGTTGGAAACAGTCAAAGAGTTACACAGATGATCTGATTTTTTGGGGGGTAGGCCGGTAAAGATAGTAGCTAGAGGTAGGTAGCTAGTAGTAGCTAGGTAGCTACTAGCATGGACGCAGGATAGCTCACACTATTCATTTGGTTCCTAGATGTTTAGGAAAACTTAACTCTGGTTTTCATTAATGTTCAATCTGCTGTCCAGAACGAAATGCCTGATTCTAGGCTGACAAATTTCCAGACGCTGATGGGTTCGTCGAGCAGCATAATACAAAAACCACTACGTTCTTCTCTGGTTCCTTCCTACTATCTGTCTGTATATATAGGAGTCTGTGAGAGGCCTTGCCCGCGTCTGAAAAACGGTATATAACATGCAGGAGATTTTGCAACGGTGTTCCTTCTGTCAGGGAGTCGTTTGGCACCTCGGAACTTTGAGAAGGCCCACATCCTAAAACTCCAGAACATCTCCGCCTTCGCTGCTGGATCCATGATGCCAAGCCAGTCCAAGTATTGCCAGGCAAACAACCTGAAGTGGAATCACTCCAGCGTTTAGTGTTGTCATATCGTGTTAAGTCAACCTTGATGAAGACCCTGATGGCCCTTTCCTTCATCTACCTACTGTCTAAGACGAAGTAAGGTTTTTGGCATTTGGCTTCTGTATGGTGATCCCTGTTCCCGCCACAAGCTAGATCATAGGTTTTTGACCAGCACCCAAATGTCTCACTTGCAAATGTTCCTCAGTTGCAGTTCATCAGAATGCGAGAAGGGAGATGATGGCTTGATGTGAGGGGATGTCGATCAAGGGATCAGCTGCTCCGCATTGATGGGTTTTAAAGTATCCATGAATTGAAGAGAAAACATGTGTTTGAAAAGTATCATCATAGATTGCACCTCTGTGTCTATCACTTGGTGGCCTACTTTGCACACAGGACCCCTGACTGGGGGCATCGACTAATTGAACATGCTGGCTTGCCAACCAACCACCTACCAACCGCGTGAACCTCCAAGTAAATAGCTATTGTTGAAATCCTGAACCATCCAGAACTCCAACCATCGCAAATACCATCGTCCTGCCACCGTCCAGGCCCAGTTGCAAGAGTTGTGCCGCCGGTAGCTGGAGCCTTTGATCGATCAGCTTCAGAGCTCAAAGCTCGGCATCGATCGCCACTAGACGCTTTGCGCCATTAAACCCTCGATGTGCATCAACAGGTGTGTTCAGGAACTCCATAGAAACAAAGGCTTTGTGAATGCACCCGCGTTCATCAACAAAATAGTAGTTTGATGGTCACACATTGAATTGAATCACTGTGGCAAAAACATGGGATGAACCTGGTGAGTGGCCTACAGTAAGAGCTTTGATGAGTGCGGTGTGGTTGGGTCCGGGTCAAAATCCACACCTCAGCAGCCGATCGCGACCAGCCAGTGATGCTACTGTATCCCCTACAAGCGTCCGTCTTCTTGTTCTGAGATGCCCCGATGATCAGCTTCTCAAGGATCTCTTCAGTTTCGGCCAGTAGAAGGGGCGGTCTTCCCAAACCAAGTCTCCAAAATCTGAGACCGATACCAAAAGAATCCAAAAGGGCATAAGACGCAAGCTACAGCAACACATGGCTCTTTGGCACTCTTTTGGGGGTCCCCCAAAGCGACCATGCAAAGAAATCATCCGAGACACAGGTAGCAAGCCAGGCTCCCGCGACCGAAGCGCACCAGCCAGACCCTGAAGGGAATTCATGTTTGAGGCTTTATGCAAATGACTCCGGTGGCTCCAGAAGAGGGAATCTCCAAACTTTTCTCGAAAACAAATTGGCTTTGCATAGTGATAAAAACACACAAATGGAAACGGAAGCGCCTTTCTGACAAGGCCCCGAAGTTCGAGACCATCGGTTGTAGTTTCCCTCGAACGTGAATCAACTCCCAGTTTCGCACCTCATCGTGTCCTGGCAGCCTTTACCATGCATCTTCGGCTTTGCCATGGGAGCCACAAGCGGCAAGAGCAGCGGGAAGTTCCAAGCATCTGGGAGGCCTGGCAATGGCACCTAATGTGTGGCTAATGGCACCAAAAATCCTCCAAACCTGCAATCTCTATTAGCTCGCACCCATATTGTTCGTAAGGAATCAGGTCTGGCTGTGGAACCTGGACAAGCAGATCTTCGGTTCAGCCCACGGATGTCGCTGTCTTGAAGTAGGGTAGATTCCTCAAAACAGTGATGTGATCGCTACTGGTAGCAAGAAGCTACTAGTAGCTATTGCTACTAGTGACTAGTGGTAATGCATTTGTAACTAGTAGCGATGCACTTGTTACTACAGTATATAGTAGAAAGAAGCTATTCATCTGCCTGCCCCCCAACAAATCCTATATGCTGCGTGTTTGCCTTCGCTGTTAAGGCACATTAAGGCCCTCAAAGCATGATAGAGCGATATAGAGTGTATACCCGCCTTTATTCTTGCTGGATAACTGACTTGCCAAAAAACATGCTCATGAGACAGCTCAGCAAATTGAAAGTTTTTCAGTCCACACGTTGTCAGCGTGCACCACACCAGGAGCATAGGTGAGCAGCCCAGCCTGGGATCACCTGGTGCATCAACATTGAGACCGGCAAAGCGCACTGGGCCCAAGTCTGTGCCCGGTCACATCGGGCCACTATGCCAAGAGTGCTGAGCCACTCAGCCCCAAAAACGCCAAAGAGGAAGGGCGCCAGAAACATGGGCGGGAAGGCCGAAAAGGGCCTGAGAAATCATGCTAGTCAAGGTTGGCATGAGCTCTGGATTTGTGTTGGAGAGACGAGGCATACCCACCAATGGATTGAACGTCCCTAAAAAAAACAAAGAATGTCCTGTCTCAAGCGCAAGAACTGCATCGATAGGGTCAGGGCTTCTGCTTGAGGGGTTCAGGACATGCTCACACCTTCCGCAAGTGCGGCCGACATCCAATGATGGGAAGTTGGATGGTCAATGTGAAAACCAAACAACTAGGGAAGAGTTTCCACAAACTACCATTGGAAAACCTCGAAGCTACCCCCACCAGGACCGTGTCCCCCAAGCTGGAATCTCACGAATTCTCTACTGGCGATAAATAGATTGTTTCTCAGTTTTTTGCACCGAAGTGTGGAAATTCCTCTGAATAGGACCAATGCGTGAAATCCAACAATTCATCCTGGACATTTGCCAAGAAAGCATGTATGACCCGTTTGGGTATCTACAGTCTCTTGCGACGCTTCGCATATGGTTTGCGCCTCAAAAGGTGTTCGACCCAGGAACGGCTGGTGTTGGTCCAATTATTCGGTTCTTTATTATATCCATCGCTGACGAAAATAATCGTTTCGACCTGTTTCGACCCTTCACCAGGAGGCAAGTCCAAAATGCTCATCGACAGCCAATAGAATCCAGCGCTACATCCGAGGAGAATGTTGGACATTGTGCATGGTGAGCTCCTTCGTGCTGCCAGCGCATGGAGGTGATCCAACAAGGCAGAGATGGCTGGATACCTCGGTGCTGTGACTCTTTGTTCCTAGTAGTAAGGCCAGGAGCCCCTAGTAGCGTCCATGTTCCTACTCAGAGAAGGCTCCTACAAGTTCGCCCGAGTCTAGTCTACTTGTCACCCAGTCGCAAAGCCCAGCAGAAGAAGAGCCCAGGCAACGGCCACAGTGGGGCGTTCATGCGATAGGCCACACAGTTCTCAAGGTCAAGAACTGGTTGTTGGCACTCTGCTTGCCAGGGTACCTGTTCTCGCTTGGGATGGACTCTGACCATCTCTGACCAACAGGTTGACTGGTATTTTCGAGGTGGACTGGAAGGATTGCACAAGTCAAAGCCAAGGCTTTGCCGGTAATCCAGCCTTTCTCAGTTTTACGAAACATGCTCAGCCTGACAGGAGTTATATAGGAACAAGATCTTCCATCACCTGGCCCAAATTGGTTTTCGGGAAATTCCGGTTACATCAATTGCCGCCATTCTCCGTTCGGGAAGGAGGCCAATGCGTTTTATGACTCCCTGCATGACATCCTGATTTGTAGAGTTCAAGACATGGCAAGTGTCCAACGTAGCTATTGGAGGACGATGGAAGATAGAGGTTTGGGGAGGAGAGGAGATGGAAGATGGAAGTTTTGAAGGCACTTCCACCTTCTGGCAGACCACCTTGGGTGTTTCTAGGAATCCACTTCTTGACAGGGTGTCTTGGGACATGCTCTTGAGAGCAAACAAGGGTAGGAATGGCCAAATGATATTCCCTGACAACCGCAGGTCAAGCGATCTTTAATACCAACAGCAGCAGTTGCTTCGCAACACATTCGCACTGGAACGTATACGCACGAAACACTGCCAATGTGACTTTGGTCTTTGTATATTCCTAAGCAAGCCAGAGCTTCTTCATCTGGCGAAGCCAAAACCTCTGCTGGTTGGTGAGCTGTCACGCAGCTACCTGTTGAGCCTGCAGAAAGTATGTGTCAGTTGACACCCAAATCTCGGACTAGTGCAGCGTAACATCAAATTCTTCCATATGCTTCCCTCATTGGCATGTCATGAAAGCCCTGCTAACCGCTTGGCCTTGATTTTCTCCTGCAGTTTATCAAGCATCAGCACCACCTCTTGCCAGCTTTGGCCCTGTTCCTCTGGTTTGCCATCCCGCTCCACCGACTCATCTTGGTAGGTCACCGTTCCTTGTGGGTCCACCTGCAGCTTTGGCACTCGCACCTTTTGTGTCGGTTCAGCCGTCGGTGGGGCTGTGGGGAAGGTCGAAGGTTTGGGTGCTGGTGCAGCTGGTGCAGCTGTTGCAGCTGGTGCAGCTGTTGCCCACGTAGGTGGGCTGAACTCCTTTGGTTGGGGTGTCACTCGGGGTGGAGGTGGCGCTGGAGCCAGCGGCGGCGGGTGCCGCACGAAGAAGGGCACGGTTGCTGAAGTTTCCACCTTGCCACCCTGTTCCTCCCCAAGGGCATCGCCGCCCTTCACGCCAATCAGCGCATAGCCTTCACGCTCCTTCCCACCGGGAATTGTGGCACCAGCACTCCAAAGTGCTGCAATGGCTTTGGCATCCAGGTTTTCCATGCCAGAGTCCCTACAGGCCACCAGCACGATGCGGCCATCTGGAAGGCTGCTGATATCTCCAGCTAGCCGTGTGTTCTCCGTCTGTGGGTCAGCCCACACATCGTAGGTTTTTCTTGATGCAACTTGCTGAGTCTCTGGATCAAGAACGACCATATTGATACCTCTTCTACCGGCCTCCCCTCTAATGTCAATCTTCTTGTCATTCAAGAAGAAGTCTGCAATGTTGCCATCCCCGTGGCCTGCACTGACAACCCTCACACTTGTGGAATCCGTTGGTGCAGTTTTTTGTGTTGGCTCTGGGTCTGGCGGTGATGGTGCCTTTGGTGAAGCAGCCACACTCTCCTTGGCCACAGTTGGTGCTGGGGAAGGGGTCACTGGTGCTACTGCTGGTTCCGGTGGTGCCTCAGGTGCAGGAGCTGCTGTCTGAGCTGCCACTGACGTTTTCTTGGCTGGTGCTGGCGATGGAGATGTGCCCTTGCGCTCGGCCAGGGACTCCCGAAGTAGACGAAGTTCCTTCACAAGTTCCTCAGTTTGCTTTCTGAGCAATCTTGTCTCGGCCGCTAAGGAGGAGGTCTCCTTGCTGGAGGCAGGCACTCGACCAAGAACCTCCTCCATGACCTGCTGCTCCTCTTCAGGTGTCCACTCCTCACCTGGACTGGCCGAGTATGTGGCTGACAAAGCTATTTCAGCACTCCGTCTACGGGACCTGGCCCCCAGCCTATGAGCGTTCAAGAAGCTCAGGCTAGAGGGTAGAGATGGTGACATAGCCACCACACTGACACAAAGAACCAAGGCTGCTCGTCCAGGTCTTCTCCATTTCTTCTCCGCCATCTCCATGAAACGCGGAAAGTGCAAAAATCTTAATCTCTAAGTTGTACCAACTTGCCTAACCTAGCATTTTCGTTCTCATGAGGATGCTTTGGGGATCATTCCAAAGTAATCTCATCAGTGTCGAGGACTTAATTTCCATGTCAGAAGCATGGTTTGAAGCCTGTCATGTCATCTTCCAGTGTTGCTTCTTGGACCACTGAAGCTGCGTTTGAAACAACAAGATGTATATATCTTCAACCCAGCAGAGTTGAAGTCTTGGAATCACAACACCCCGACGAAAGTGAGACAAATTTGAATATGTAATGTGACGAGTGTGCTTCGCCAGACACACCAAAAGCAAACTCACCCGTCAGGGGCGGGGCCTGCCAGGTCTGCAGACCCCAAAACGGGAGGATCTCCCACTTGCAAGAGATGAGGACGGACCCCACCAGCGACAGCTGGTAGAGAAGGAAGCACTGGGAGCCATTGGCAAAGTACCTGGGCGCAGCCGATCGCACTTCAGTTAGTTCACATGAGGGAGCGGCCCAATCTGAAGCCACTGGCCACTGAATTGCAGAGAAATGGGGGTTGAATGTGGTTGCTATATATATATAATATTTATTTAACCACATTGGCCGAGATCAGTCTTGCCAGGGATTTGGGTGTGTCTCACAGAGGGAACCCCATCATACGACTCAGCACCGTGAAGTCTGCCAGAAAAGCTCAGACCTCTGTCCAACAAGCCGCCAACACACGCAAAATGCCCGCCTCTTGAGTGGCTGGACTGGCCAGCGCTGCATAAGGGCTCCACTGATGGCCCTGCGAATCAATCGATATCAATCGTTTGTGGGTCGTGAGACCTTTAGGACCAAAGCTTCTTCCAGGTCACATAGCCAGGTATGTAGACAAAAGCAGGTAAACTCATATAATGAACTGAACGATGAAGCTAGATCGAGAAAATGCGATAAACCTTCCCAATATAGGATGGACAAATTTGGTTGGTCTCTGTTGGTCTAAATATCTCACCTTTCTATCTCACCTTTCAGCTTTCGCAGCTTCTTCACGCTTTGCTCACCCACGGAGATTTTGTTTGAACTGGGAGCACCAAATTCCTGCTCCCTAACAATGGCCATCGTCCACCGTGGTCCCTATAAAAGTCTTCCCCCATGAGATCTAACCAATGATGTCAGGAAAATGGAATCGAAACTTCCGACACCTGTGGCGTTGCCTGGAGTCCTGAGATTACACTGTATGCTGCATGGAAAACAGGCGGTAACACGTGTGAGGGAGACTGCTCGAGAACATTGCCCTTCTTCACTACCTTCCAGGTAGCGCTCCAGTCCGCGACTCCGTCCTAAGCCAAGCAGCACGAGCTTCCAAATGGCACAGGAGGTGCGGTCCATGGATGGGCCGAGAAAGAAGTGGCTCACAATGGTGAAGCCCACGCACGCGAGCCTCACTCGGACACGACCCACTCAATTGAGCAGCCAAGGCATCGGCCATGCACACTCAAGTTGGTCAGGTGAAAGTCTGTCTGCAGACTTTCTAAGTCACACTTTGAGGATCAAACAATGTTCGCTACTAGGAACAAGTGCATCGCTTCTAGTAACAAGTGCCTTACTAGTAGTAACAAGAAGCTACTAGTTGGATCCTCTAATTAGAAGTCAGAGGATCATCGTCCTTCATGGGATCCTTGGAGCCCCTCATGCACAAACCCCCATCTTGCAGTGCTGGGAGCTTCAACCCCTCGACAGCCAAAGCGGGCTCTGACTGGTAGTGAGAGTCCTGTGGTGGAACCATGAGATGTGGTGGGGTCGAGCAGAACAGGACAGGATGGATAGACTGGATTTGATAGGACATAATGCAGTAGATTGGATCAACAAATTAGATAGACAGGACAGATTAGATAGATGAGACTAATGAAACCAGATTCCAGATAGATAAAACATGTGTATATATTTGTTTACTATCTACAGTTGTTTATAAATGATTAGATCGCTGGATCAAATGTCCGAGGGATCCGGGGACGGATGGATACAGTAGATTGAAGAATCGACGGACATTGAAAATAGATGCGGCCCTGTAAGTACGTCCACGACAATTCACGGTAGGTGACGTCTTCGAACCGATCGCATGTTGAGGGATACTGAGATTGGTACGACGCTCACCAGTGCACTCCAATAACCCTCTCGGATGAAAACTCTGTCTTTAAGGCATTTGCAAAACAGGAGACGTCCCACAATGCAGTTGCATGCTGGTCCTCTTTGAGTTTGCACCCACCAAAGCCGATGGCAGCCATGGCCAGCATGAGGTAGACAACCAAACCGCTGAAGAACGGATGCTTCGGGAGCGACCTCAGGTGATATGATGTTGATCTTTGCAGGCCTCTAATAGCTGACGAAACTGAACACTGTTTGTGGGAGGATCCCACCTTTAGACCCCTAGCTCATGCGACTCATGTTCAACGTGGCTAGGGGTGGGAGCCATCGAAGTACAGTACAGTACAAGTCAATATATTAATGTACATATGTATAATATATATATATATACTTGAAGTGGCCATGACGTCTTGCCCCTGAAAACAATTTCAAGCAGTCTTTCAATGCGTTTACAAAGCCACAACAGTTACCCACAGCTTCTCTGCCACACCAAAACTCGATGTCCAAGTGACGGCCTCACAAGTCCAGGCCTGGCAGTCGAGCTGAGTCGAGTCCGGGTCGAGTCGGCACAGCAAGCCCACATGAAGCCAGAACTCAAAAAGTATTGGTCAATCAAGACGCGTTGGATGGACCATATTCAGTACGTAGTTGTACTCGACGTCTGCCAGCAAAAATGTGTTTATTCTACAATAGTATATTCAAAAAACAAAAAAACTATTTGGGGGGGTCACTACTAGTAACAGGGGCATCGCTACTAAGAACAAGGGCTTGGCAGTTTCTTGGCGGCATCCCGAAACCCGTTGGCGGATCCATCGCCTGGGCCGCAACACCTCTTGGAACTTCGCGCGGTACCGCTGCTTCGTTGCCATCCACCAGGCCTGTCAGCATAAAAGAAATTACACCACCGTAGACCCCAAACAGTTTGTGTTTTTCAAAATCGAAACTAGAGCTTGCGACGTCCAGAGCTGGGAGACAAAGGATTGCAAGGCAGGCGGCCACAGCAGCCCAGAGCTGGGAGACAAATGTAATGTAAAGGATTGCAAGGCAGAGACAGACACAGCAGTACAGAGCGGGCGGACACATCTTAAGAAAGAATTGAGAAGCCCTATCAGTAAACCTTTTGGGGAAATATTCTTCAAGTGCGAACATGATGCTGGTCATGCTGCTCAATCAGCGGGGAGCTGACCACGTGAGGACAAGAAATAGAAGCGTGAGGAGCGAAGGATGTGACATGAAATTGATTTTTGGTGCCTGACGTATGTCCTCCGTCCCAACTGAACAGAGAGATCGCTGCCACGCCGCCGAAATCCAATCTGGTCATTCATGCAACGCTTGCCCGAAAAGGAAAACAAAGCTGAGAGAGTTACACAGTGTGGCAGAAATGCAATCCCGGAGACAGTCACGCGCCCCTTTCAAAGGAGCAAGAACCTTTCACAGGTGAACCTGTTCCAGCGGACAGGGCAGAAAACAGCAGTGCAGGCACCAAACCTGAAAGACAAACATAAAGAAATCACATGGGAGACAAATGAATAGAAATGCTACATGGCCAGCGGAAAAGGGCGGCAGCACCAGTCACAGACCCCGGAAACAAATGAATAGAAACGCTGCGTGGCCAGCGGAAAAGGGCGGACACCAGCAGTGACAGACCTGGATTAAAGCATTGAGAACCCCTAACAGCAAACTGCTTGGGGAAAAATCATAAGAACCCATCCACCTTAATCCCCATCATCCACCTCCTTTTGCTCGGAATCCTGTCGGCATCCAACTCGCCTGGCATTGCGCTTGCACCGAGTCCAACTCCACATCCGAGAGTCGGAGGACCTGCAGAGCAACCAGCAGAGCCGACATCAAGGCACACTTTCAACTTTAAGAAGGAAATCTGCAGCTGTGAACGCAACGCTTTTTGTTGCTACAACATGTCTGTATTTCTTTGGAAGGGATCCGCAACCTCCACCACTGTCTTTACAGGGCAGTCTTGGAGTGGTAATATTGGAAGCAAACAAATCTTGGCTGGAAGACCTTACGAATGTGTGTATATATATATATATGGTTCCCGCACTTTGGAGCAAGGTCATACATACCCCGTATGTGAAACTACTGTTGCTCCTTTGACAAGATCCTTATAGAATGTTTGACGCCGGCGAAGGGGTTTGATGACTAGATGTTGTCGGTTCCATGTCAAGAATGTGCCAAGAATTGAGTCAGTTGAACAAGATTGAAAACAAGCAACTGCTTAGCGATACAGTAAGAAGCTCTCCTACATCTCTAACCTTACCCTTGCCCCTCAAGCCGAAGCTTCGAATTCAGGGGCCCCTCAAAGGGCCTGTGGCAGGTCACCAGGGGATTGTACGAAGAGGAAGGGCAAGGCTTCGCCATCCTGCCACGCGGAGACCGCCAGCTGCACAGGGGGAAAAAAATTACAGAAAAATCTTCTGGAGCATTGTGCATATCCCGGAGACGCCACAGCATTTACCTAAGAAGAGGCAAGCTTAGTGAAGAAAGCAATCAAGAGGGGCACCGAGCTTTCAGACACCAATAACAACACCAATACAGAAGAACAAGAAACAAGTAGAGGCCTCAGCTCAGAGGGGCTGTCACAAACCAGGCTTGGACCAATGTTCAATCTGGAAAGATTTGTTCACCGAGGCTTTCACACTTGAAACATTCAACCCAGAAACCCCAAGCTTCAAAGAGAAGTACAAATGAATTGCCATATCATCCCAACAAACCCCTGTCCTTTACACAATATCTACACTCCAATAGACTCCACATCCCACAGCCCGCCCCTCTTTTCCCACACCTGAAGCTGTTGAAATGGATCGCCAGCTTGACTCCAGGCAAGCACGAGCACTGGGATGCACCCTGCCTGGCGTGAAAAGCAGCTGCATGGGCCTGTTGCAA